ATTGGTTTGGGTCTGTGGTGGCCCTGTGTGTCATTAGGCACATGGTGGAAAAATATTGCTTTTCAAGGACATGACTCCAAATGACCTAGTTTGCCTCTACAAGGCTCCACTTGCTTCAGGTTGTCCCTTCAGCATCCCTAGGAAGAGCATGCCTGTAGACCACGGGTCTCCACAACAGAACAAGTGTTAGGATTATTGGCACTGCTCTGTAGCTCACACCTCCTAGCACACCCACCCAGGATGGAAGGAAAAGACATGTGAGATGTGTCTGATTGCTCATTTCCCACTAGCTGTGTCATCCTTGGGTTCTTGGAGCCTGAAACAAAAGCCAGGCTTTCCCAAGGAAGCCTGCAACTGTGTATTTACATACTTTCCAAACCTTATCTTATAAAAGAAAAAACACTCATTAAAGTGTCAGCTTTCTTCTCCAGTTTGTAGTTTCCCTCATGGTAATATATTGGTGGAATCGAGGATGACAATATTGTGCCACTGACATCCTGTTTTGGTGACTTTAAAGTGTCTGTTCATATGGAGAATCCACTCCATATAAAACATAAATCCACTGCACCCACCTGCCACCAGTATTGCAGGAACATGTGTGCTCTTTACTCTTCATGTGCTTTCCAGGGGAGTTTGCTAACAGAGCTAGGGCGGAGAACATATCTTTAACTCAGACAGATGGTGAAGGCATTCCCTCTTGTGGACCACCTGTTATCAGTTGGTAGTGAATCCAGTAACTGTGTGTTAAGGCGGAATCTAAAGCCAAATCCAACCAGTGGTGCATCGTGACATTATTGACTAGTGATGTCTGTTGTGGGTAGGGCATGAGGTCAGAGTGTAGGTGTCATGTATTTGCCCTGGAAAAATCTGTCTCCTACTAGATCAGTGGTTCATATTTGATTGGCTGGTCTTTCTCAGTGTGTGCCTAGGGCATTGCCATGTAGAGTAGAATCTTGATATGTGACTGCTGAATGAGGCTATGCAATGAGTGTTTTCATTCCAGTGAGTGTGGAAGGGAAGAGAGAAAAGCAAGACAAATGATTTAGGCTTTGAAGTAGTGTGTGAGCAGCATTTGAGGACGCAGTCCTCCAGTGTTGCTGGAATATCATGTGATAGATGGCGATCTCTTTTCTTCACCTAAAGCCATTTCAAGATGCAAAATGTTAACAGCTGCCACTGGCACCTTCCTTAAAGTACAAGTCAAGCTGCTGGAAGCCACAGAGGTTCAGCAGGCCCATGCTTGGGAATGGATTTCCTGGTACTAGTAAGTGCTTCAAATGGCAACCACCCGTGGAGCATTCTCTAGGAGAGTCACCACATCAAAGTGTCTAATTGATTGATGTCCATGTGAGGGGCTTGTGTATCAACAGACTGGCTTCTTAGTCTCAGGGGCACATTAGTCCTCCACCCCCACCCTAGGTGTGCTATAGCTTTTCATGATCAGCCAGGAAGCCACAGAGAAGAGATACCTGCCTGAGCAGCACAGACTTGAAGGATCTGGAGCAGGACAGAACTCCAGGCCTGCGTGCAGAAAGAAGACCTTTCTGTTGGTGCTGTTTGAATGGGAATCAGTGTTTAGTTTCCAGAATAACTCTTAGACTTCACATTTTATTTTTTTTTATGCATATAGAGTATTTTTTATTTAATTTTATATAACAAAGTCCAATTAAATGAAAACAAACATTTATACACAATATTTGGGAATTTGGGCATCGTTCTTTCCAAACTACTTCCTGCTGGTAAGGGGCGCTGTCTTGGGGGATTCGAAGAAGATTCAGATATCCTAGCTGTAGTCTGTAGGGCTGTTTTGTCCAGCTGTTTGGAATGTAGGATCAGCTTGTACTCTGTTTCAGGCGGTCTGGTGTGATCAAACCACATTAGTCTGGAAGGAATCCACATCTTTTCATTTTCTGTGGAAACAAAAATAGAAATTCTTTTCCCCAGTAACTTGTTCTTCAACTTAAATTTTGGAGTCAAAGCGTTTTTTTTTATTATTATTATTATTTTACATGTCGATCCCAGTTCCCTCTCCCTCCCTCCCTCCCTCACCCCAAGCCCTCCCTCCCTCCTTCCCTCCCTTTTGCCCTCTCTACCCTCTCCCATGCACTCTAAACACCCTCCCCTTCCAACCCCCACCACAATACAATATGTAGGGGAATGCCATCCAGTTGGGGTCATGTAGATCTGACAGGTCCTGTGAAGTAGGGACTAGGGCTTCTCTCCTATCTCTAGAATAAGGCAGTTATCCCTCCATGGGGGATATGTTTGCAATAGACTTCACATTTTAATTACACTTAAAACATTGCCTCATTGCAGTGTAATAATTGCTCATCCTTGTGATTTTCATATGTCTATGAAAGTTTTTTCAGAGTAGGTTAATTGAGAAGAGGAGAGACCCAGCCTGAATGTGGACTGCACTAATCCCATGGACTGAGGTTCTAAGCTGAATATAGTGGGGGGAAGGATAAGGCAAGTTGACCATCAGCCTCCCTCCCCGTCTGTATACTCCCTGTTTTGCTTAGAAGTGAGTGGGACTCCTCAAGCTCCAGAAGTCACAATTGACCATACTTCCCTATCATGATGGACTATGTGCCTTCAAACTGTGAGACAAAATAACCCTTTCTTCTCTTCAGTTGTTTCTTGTCCAGTACTTACTCATAACAATGAGAAAAGTAATTAATATACATGACATATTGTCATAGTGATAAAATAATGAGGTTAGGTGCCCCATTTGAGCCAGAGTAGTATTAATGGAGGCTGTACATTCTAGTTTTATGCCAATGTGACATAAGCTAGAGTCATCAGAAAGGAGGGAACCTCAGTTGAGAAAATGCCTCCATAAAATAGTGCTAGAGGCAAGGCTATAGGACATTTTCTATTGATGGGGTAGGGCCCAGAGGGTACCATTTCTGGGCTGTGGTCTTGTATTCTATAAGAAAGCAGGCTGAACAAACCACAAGGAGCAAGCCAGTAAGCAGCATCCTCCATGGCCTCTTTATCAGCTCCTACCTCCAGGCTTCTGCCATGCTTGAGTTCCTGCCTTGACTTCTTTGATGATGAACTGTGATGTGGAAGTATAAGTCAAATAAATCCTTTCATCCCAAAGTTGCTTTGGTTAGGTTGTTTCATCACAAAATTGGTATTGGAATAGTGGAGTATTGCTGTGACAGACCTGGCAATACTGTTTTGGGGAGGATGATGGAAGGACTTTAAAACTTTGTGCTAGAAAAGACCTTAGGTGTTGACAACTCAACTAGTGATTCCTTGGGATCTTGGAAGATTGAGAATAATACAGACAATGGAGGCCTGGCTTGTGACATTTCAGAGGGAAGATTCTACAAGGGCCTTCTATGAGATGAATCTGTGGTGTCTGGTCAGCTGGGGTTGGAGAATCTACTGTGATTAACAAGAAAGCAGAAGCACTAAAGTAAGACCTCTGTCTTCTGGGACAATTGATGCTGGTTACCTAAAGCTGAAAAATTAGCAATGATTAAGAAAAGACCAACATTGTTGAGGTAAAATCTTCTGGGAAGGGTTTTCTCAGAGACAGCGAATAGAAGCTCTGTTCCACTTGGTCATGTGAGAGTCACACAGGTGGTATGTGTTTTGAAGGAATGAAGGGGTAATGGAGAACAGCTGAGCCATGGCACTGTGAGGGACCAGGAGAGGACATTGATTAAAGTGTAGCCTAAATAGCATTTGAAGGCCCAGCATTGAAATGGTCAGGCAGAGAAGTTGAGGTTTGACACCATGAAGAGAGGCTATTGGTGGAAGTGCAGTCAAATTGCAATAGAAGACCCAAGCATTTTGTAGATGCCAATGGCGTCGGGTGCCCACCAAGAACAGCAGCAGTGGAGGAGTCTGATCCTAGAAGTCAAGCTGTGTGTGCTGCAGAGGGTAGAGTTGGAGAGAATGAATACCCAGACATTGGGTATTGGTTTATTTATACAGTAGCAGCTTGGATTTTGCTTTGTTCAGGTTGCGACTGTGCCCTGGTTCTCTCCTCTTGAAGTAAGAAGGTATTTGATTTAATTATGAGTTTTGCAGAGTCCATAGATGAAAGAATTTGAACATTTAAAAGAAATTTTGGATTTTTTTTAATGATAATGGATATTTTAAAGGGATTGAAGTTTTAATGTGTTTGAGTTGGTAAGGACTGAAACTTTTAAAGTTATGTTTTGTCCTGTGATATTAATATTAATGTGCCATCTTGAGGATAAATGAGAAAGGAACAGTTCTAATTGAAAAGTGATCAAGGGGTCATTTGTGATGGCTGGTTTTATGACAACTTGCAGAAGCTAGAGTCTTTAGAAAGGAGGGTGCCTCAATTGAAAAAATGCCACAGTAAGATCAGGCTGTAGAAAAACCTGTAGAACATTTTCTTAATTATTGATTGATGGGGGAGGGCCCAGCCCATTATGGGTGGTGCCATCCCTGGGTTGATGTCCCTGGGTTTTATAAGAAAGCAGGCTGAGCAAGCCATAGGGAGTAAGCCAGTAAGCAGAACCCTCAATGATCCTAGCTCCTGTCCCCAGATTCCTGCCATGACTTCTTGATGATGAACTGTGATGTGGAAGTATAAGTTGTAAAACCCTTTAATCCCAAAGTTGTTTTGGTCATGGTGTTTCATCACAGCAATAGTAACCCTAAATAAGTCAGAGGCATAATGGTAAGCCTGCAGTCTTGCCATCTGTAAGTAGTCAGGAATCTTTATCCCCAAAGACAAAGCAAGGAACTTGGACTTTTACCCCTCTTTGATAATTAAAGTGGTGTAATATCAGTGTGGCATGTACAGTGCCTGCTGAGGCAGAAGATTAAGTAAGAACCCAAATATCACTGTATAGAAGGGAAAATGTTTACGATACAATTGAAAGTCACCTATCATATCAAGAACCAGGACAGTCTCAGCTGGAACAAGAAAAGAAAACTGAGATAAATCAACACCCACACGGCACAGATTTTGGAGTTGTCTGAGGAATTTGACAGTGCTTCAGGAAGTCTGCCTCATGCTTATCACAGGCTGTGTTCTTAGGCTGACTTTATGCAGAAAAGAGGCAGAGTAAACCTACTACTGTTCACATAAGCCCAGGCCATTATGCCTAGACTGTATTGTGAGTGATGATACATGGATTTGGAAAGAAGAAAATGCTTCATTGAGCAATCATGGACAAGCTGGAAACAGATGAAAAAGTTTCATCAAATGAACAGAAAGTCTCAGATGAAAAACAATGGAAGTAGAAAGAAAAATGGAAGTATGGGAATGAATCAATAACCTGGAATTTTCAATGGATACACTTAGCAGCCGAATGGGAAGAATTTGGGGGCAGAACAGTAGAAATGGCTTAATCTTGACAATAGAGTGAAAAGAGCCCAGAGGAAGAAGCAGAGCTCAAAGGCCCTCCAAAGGAGGACACAACACAGCTATAGAAGCACAGGGAAAGAGAAAGAAAGAAGGCATTTCAAATGGCTGAGAATCTCTCATGGATTTTAAGTTATGACCCTCATAATGAAGAAGCTGAGCAACACAACACAATGCAGTCCCATGCAGATCATGTAAAACTTATCACCACATTTTGAACACCACAGACAGAAGCATTCTTAGAAGAGTCAGAGGAAAAAGCCTATCTTACCCCCACCCTGAGTAGGAAAATAATTTGAATAACAGTTTCATATAAGGATCCATAGAACCCTGGAAAAAAATGTATAGTACTTTTCAAATGGCTAAAGAAGAGATGTATCAACTCATAAATCCATGTTCAGAGAAAATATTCTTTATGAATAAGAAAGGAATGAATATGTTTTAAGATTAGGAAGAGCTAAGAGTCTTTGTCACCAGTAGACCTATCATAAAAGAGTGGCTGAAGAGAGTTCTCCTAAGCAGAAAGAGAACATGAAAAATGTATTAGAACTTTGTAAGAGAAGAAAGAATAGAATGTTGGAAACATAAGAAGAATAAAATGTTACTGAATCTAACTTTCTCATAATGTCTGGTGGTTGAAGCAAAGAAAAAGAAACCTTGTTGATTATGGTTTTCATTGTATATAGAGGAAACATTTAATGTTGTAAGTGGATGAGTTTAGTAATAGGACTTGGAAGATAGATTCATGACTCTTGAACTGATAAATGTCAGCACTAGGTAGCTATGAGAAGTGATTAGGACAAATGTGTTATTTAAAGCATTCATCAAGAAACCTACACAAAGAGATACATAGGGAGATACTACAGATATATCATAGTGGGTTAAAGGATGTCCAGGTAACTCAAGAGTTCTAGGAAAGAGACAGAAATGAGAAACAAAGAACAAGCAGAAGCCCCAGCGGATCAGTAATTACATTAAATGTAAATTGTCTAGAGACTGACAATAAATTTTAAAAGAATACAACTGTTTACTTTCAGCAAGATCTTAATTCAACTGTAGCATAGATTAGTTGAATGTAAATATATGACAAATAATACACAGTGAATCAAAAGAAACCTGGGCAAGAGTAGCCATATTAACAACAGATTAAGTATAATTTACAAGAAAAACAGGAAAAAATTACCAAAGAAAAGCCAAAATGTTACATAGAACAACAGGGTTGGCCAACCAAAATAGTATGGGAATCACAGATGTGTTTACATGTGTTCTTAGTCTGTTTTCTGCTGCTAGAACAGAATATCAGAGAATGAGTAAATTATAAACAGGGTAAGTGCATTTGGTTCATGTTTTTAGAGGGCTGGAAGATCATATCTGATAAGGGAATTCCTAATGGGCCATGTCAAGGCCAAAGGTATCATATGGCAAATAAATATAATGAGGGGGAGTAGATTTGACTCTTCTATTCCTAACTCCCATCATAATGTCTTTAATTCATTCATGAGGCCAGACCTTATCACTTTGTCAGGGGGACTACTGAAAACAGATACAATGGATAAGTTTTGATGGGGCCATAACCTAATAAAGCCATGAAGCATGCCAAACAAAAACTGATAGAAATGAAAAGCAAAAATGGACAAGTCAACAATTTCCAGTTTGAGACTACAGTATTATTCCATTTGACCACTGAAAGAACAGTAGAGTATCACCAAGGCCACATAGAACCATGGACCAATAGGATCCAATGGCCACCTGTAGAGTATTCAAAGGGAGCAATGTACCCAGGGAACAGTTGTGAAGACAGGCCATCTTCTGCACCATGGATTGAATGAACAAATTTAAACATGCTGAAATCATACAGGGGTGTCTTCTACCACCTAGAGTCAAGCTGAAATCTAGTAATATGAGGATCTCCAAACAGGTGGAAAACCAACTCAGAATTTTAAGTGATGCATATGTCAAAGAGGAAGCTCTAGGGGAAATTAAAAAATATATCAGCCAAGTGAAATGTCATCAGTAAGGGCAGCTCCCTTTTTTTATATATAAAAAAATGTAATTGTGTGTGTATGTGTTTCAGAGTCTGGGGAGGTCAGAGGCATCAGATTCCCTGGATGTAGAGTCACAGGTGGCTGTGAGATGACAGTGTTGGTGCCAAGAGCTCAAATCATGTCCTTTGCAAGAGCCATGCTCTCTCCTTTTCCATTATCTCTTCATCCCCCAGAAAAACAAATTTTATGCGTATTAGAATTAAAGTAAAACATGGAGGAGAGGTTATGGAGACTGAGAATGGATCTTGTTTTCCAGAAGAGAAAAATAACTGAAGGAGCAAAGGAAAAGCTGTCTGAAGTGCAAAATCTCAGTTGTGTTCTTCTTTCCTAAGAGCCAAAACATCATTGTTCTCAGATCTGTTTCTAAGGATACATTCATACTAGAACCAGTTTAGTTAAAGGACTATCTATGAAATCATGCATGGAGCCTATAGAGACCACCAGAGGTGTTGACACAGACCAAGTGAGTCAGCCTTTACCACCTGATGGGGAGGAAGCTGATGACCTGAGCTACCCCTTCCCTTCATCTCCTACCAGGACCCCAGAGGGCAACTTCAACTGGAAGCCAAAGGCAACAGTCCCTTTGCCTTCCATAGTTCAAGAGAATGTGCCTCCCAGGTCATCAGCAAGATAGAAAAGAGTTGACAGAGGATGTAGAAGGTGAGAGAGAGGCAGCTTTGTGGGTAGCAGAGACACTCACAGGCAGGACGTGTTTAAAATGCCAGTAAGGGCAGGAGAGATGGTTCAGTTGGTAAACAGGTTGCTGCATAAATACAAGAACCTGAGTTCATCCCCTATCACCCATGTACAAGCTGGGAGTAACACTGTAATCCCTGCCCTGGAAAGGAAGACAAAGTAGGATCTTTGCAGTCCTGGCCAGCCAGTCTAGATGAATTGGTGAGCCCTAGATTCAGTGAGAGACACTGTCTCAAAAATAAGATGGAGAGTGATTAAGAAAGATGCCTGGCATCAACACACATGTGCTCAGCACCCCCTATATACACATGTGAAATTCAAGTCTACACATTAGAAAATAAAATCACCAACAATGGAGGAGTTTTCTGCTTATTATATATCCTCTCCAGCAAAAATTGTCATCAGTATTATTGATCTTAGCATTCTGATAGGGTAACATGGTATTTCAGAGTCATTTTGACTTGCATTTCCCTGATGGCTAAGGATGTTGAGCAATTCCTTAAATGTCTTTTGGCCATTTGGGTTTCTTCTGTCGAGAATTTTCTGTTTAGAGCTGTACCCCATTTTTAAAATTGGATTATTTGGTAGTTTGGTGTCTAGTTTATTGATTTCTTTATATAATTTGCTGATCAGCCCTCTGTCAGATGTGGGGTTGGTAAAGACCTTTTCCCATTTTGAAGCAGTGCCCACAACCAAGCACTGGGCTGAGCTCCTGGAGTTCAGTTGAAGAGAGGGAAGAGGGATCATATGAACAAGGGGGGGGTCAATAGCATGATGGGGAAAACCACAGAGACAGCTGACTTGAGCTAGTGGGAGCTCATGGACTATGAACTGACAGCTGGGGAACCTGCCTGGGACCAAACTAGGCCTTCAAAATGTGGGTGAGAGTTATGTAGCTTGATCTGTTGAGGGGAGAGGGCATGCCTGGCAGTGGGACTAGGACCTATGCCGGATGCATGAACTGGCATTTTGGAGTCCATTTGCTATGGGAGATACCTTGCTCAGCCCTGATATGGGGGGGAAGTTCCTGCCTCAACTTGATATGCCAGACTTTGTTGACTCCGCAAAGAAGGCCTTACCTCCTCTGAGGAGTAGATGGGGTAGAAAGAGGGAAGGGGGGAGCAAGAAGGGGAGGGAGGGGCACTGGGATTTAGTATGTAAAATGAAAAGGACATTTAAATAAAAATTTTAAAAAAGATAAAATCACTCTGAGATGGACTACTTGTTGAGTTGCCAAAAGGAGCCACTCAACCCAACCGTGTGCCACGTGAGAGCGAGAATCAACCTTTATTACATTAAGCCTCTGAGACTTGGGGTTGTGTATTAAAACAGCTAGTGTTAATTACCCTGACTAATACACCCAATAAAAGTCAGGGCCTCAAAGTCTGTGTGGAGCCGAATATTAAACGCACACCCAGCACTCAGGAGTAATTAAAAAGTGATTCCAATATTTACTTGTGTCTCTCAAAAAACACCAATGGGGATTCAATTCATCATTTTAGTCACTCATCTCAAAACCTATTTTATTGCCAATATCATCCCCTTTGACCCAGATACTTCCATCCATCAACCCTCAAACATTTCCCCCAACTCCAAGTCCATTCAGGACCTTTTCTCATTAACCCTCCTTTTCCTTTTAGACTTTGATTATGTAGAACTTTCAGTCTTCTTCTGTGTCTTCCCCATGTCCCCTCACACTGTCTTTCTGTTACCAGGAAAGATCCTAGGTGCCTGACACAAAGTGATGTGTAAGGTTTATGCGAAATTAAGACAGGAGAATAACAGTGATCCTGGGACATGGTAACACACGGGCATGTGCCTGTCACAGGCTGCTTTCCTAGTATTCAGTTTCTGAAATAGAGTTGTCATGCATTTATTTAAGGGGAGCACATTGCAAATTAACACCTGTGGTGGGAGAGAAAGCAAGTCTGGACCAAGGCAAAGCAAACTGAGTCCTAGGAGCCTGATCACATGTCTTTATGTCTCTTCTTTGGGCTAAAAGGACTTAGCCTTCATCTTCCTGCATCTA